CTGTGACCGCGGTGGGGAGAGGGGACACAGAGACAGGGAACTGATAGGCACGCTTTCTGAGGGACAAAGATAACATGACAGGCTTCACACTTACAGTTTGCCAGGCCCCGTCTCCTATACAGATTATCACAGTAACCCGCGGAAGCCAGTACCACTCTTATCATTCCCATTTTTCAGATGAAGACACTGAGTCGCCAAGGAGGAAAAGTGACTTGCCTTCGGTCACGAAGCTGGTAAGAGTCAAGGTGGGCTTCTAACCAAGGCAGTTGGCTTGGGGTCCCTGCCCTGACCAGGGCACTTTCCACCTCTGTCACATAGAAACATCTCTGCCTGTAAAATGTGTCACTGGTTCTGAGTGTCTCTTTCCTTCAAGAATGACAGACGGTGAGAGTTGGAAGGCGCCTTAAAGGCGACTGAGCCCAGTGGGTTTTTCATACCTCTCTGAAGTGTATACTTTTGAAAGTTTACTTGATGCTCAGTTATGAGATAGAGAGAAGGGCTGGGAGGCTCAGGCCCGCCACCTCGCTCTCCTCCTCCCAGGGACCCTGGGGCCAGGGCTCCACAGAGCCCATGAAGAATCAGCGCTCCTGACCTCCCCCACCTCCCTATTCCCATTTTGCAGATGGCAAAACCGAGCCCCAAGGAGCCTATGAGCTAGAGCGGAAAAGACCCGTTCCCCACCTGTCAGGTGAGGTGGGTGGATCAACTTCCGTCCCTCAGCACGCTTTCCTGAGCACCTACTAGGTGCCCCTCTGTGCCAGGAGGGTCAGCGGGCCCTGAGGTGTGTGACTGTGAAGACCCAGGAGGCCCTTTGGGAGGGTCTGGTGCACGAGTGTGGCTTCCTTTCAAGGGAGGTTCCCTGCACCCGCTCAGTGGGGCCCTTTCTGTGGACCCCCAGAGGGGCGTGGGGATGCTCATCGGCAACACAGAAACCCTAAATGGTCACCAGACACTGAGGACGCTGTTTGGATTCTGTGTGAGCACCGCTCCTCCGAGGACCACCCCAATCCCAGGTCTGAAACAGCCCGCTTTGGACCCTTGCCACTCAGGCTCTGCTGTTTTCGCGAGAAGCGTGGTCCTCTGGGTTGAACTGTGTCCTCATAGAGAGATATGGTGGAGTCCTAACAGCTAGGACCTCTGGGAATAGGGTCTTTGCAGTGAGAACCAAGCCAATGTGAGAACATCAGGGTGGCCCTTACTCCAATATGGCTGGCGTTCTTATAAAAAGGAGCAATTTGGACACAGGCACACAGAGGGAAGATGGCCCTCGACAAGCCAAGCAATGCCCGAGGCTACCGGGAGCTGGGAGAGAGCTGGCAGACCCTTCCCGACAGCCCTCAGAGGGAGCCCAGCCCTGCTAACACCTCGATTCTGGACTCCTGGCCTCCAGAGCTGTGAGAGAATCTGTTTCCGCTGTTCTAAGTCCCCTGGTTTGTGGCACTTTGTTGAGGCAGCCCTAGGAAAGGAATACAGGTGGGGGCGAAGCCTGATCGATCCTGGCTGCAGTCATGTGGATCCTTCTGTTTTGTTTTGCTTTGATGGCTTTGTCCTCCTGTAGCCGAGAAAGTCAT